CATACAACTTCGTCTCCATCACATGTACATACATAATATCTTTTCAAATTATAGCCTATTTATTATTCTTGATATTACTGTAAACTTTCATCAAAATCCGTTCAGTTTTTGTGTGAAATAGTAACAAACATCCACCCATCCATCCATACTCACAAACTTTTGTGTTTATAATATTAGTGAGATCTATATTAAGTATACTTTAAACAAGTTGAGCATTTTAAAATGGTTTCAAAGTTGCATAATAGGTGGACGTCTATGCCTACTTATCTGCAAGCATAATGGTGCGAGGTAATCAAACACCTACTTAACTATCTCCATAACTTCCTAGTCGGTCGTGGTGCGCCGTGAAATCCTAAATAAGACGTTGCAACTCCGTGATTTGTGGCTTTTGTTATTCCCCATTGTTGTGGACTTGTGGACCATTGTGCTACCGACTACTCGCACATTAGTATGGAGATTTGAATAGCTGTCAATGTGTTTATAGACTTTTGTGGCTTATCTTAAATAATGGGATTTAAAAGTGCATTTTGACGTTTTCTTTGCACGAGTAAAAAATAATTTATTTTAATATTTCTTTTAAAATATGAACTTTTTTGTGAACTGTATTTTACAGTGCCGCTAGAATATAATTATTTTATATAATGGAATTCTAAATTCTTTAATCGTGATTAGTGAATAACTAATAAATGGCTTGTATGTATGTATTTGTAATTGATAAACACAAAACCTATTGGTCCGAATACAACAATTCTTAACCCAGAATTACCTTAGAATGCTTCATTATTTCCTTAAGAAACACACGCTATGCTTAATATATATATGTATGTATAATACACACGATGTAATGATTTAAACTATACACAATATATATGTAATATATTACTCAGCGCCATCTAGTCCAACGCCAACTGGTCCGAGTATGTGTTATTTAATAACTGATATAAATACATGGATACATATTTTTCTAAATACGTATATATTATCTATAGAAAAAACTCAGACTGATACAACCCATAACACTCATGGATACAAATGTTTGTACTGTGCAAGAAATAGAACCTGCATTCATTGGAAGTAAGCGCTGTACTAAACCGCCAGATCACAATAATTACAAGCATTGCTCGTGTGACTTATTTGGATATATTGTTCCCTGAAACTAAAGTATATTTAATAAAAATAGTACATTCTATGCGAAACTGAAATGTTTTTAAACAAACCGTTTTCTGAAATTACATTAGCTATAGGTTATATATTGTATACGTTCAGGAATAATTTGTTTATGGACACAAATTTACAGAAAAACGATGCATATATGGTGCATAGAGCAAATACACGCGTCAGTGATGCCAGCTGAATAAAAATAAATCAGCTGTGATTTATTCCGGGTGCAGAGTCGCATGCCGCGTTCCGGTCCGCTGCAGCGATGTATGATGCAGATTTGCATATGCGAATAGATATAAATTTTGCATTCAAGGAAATTGTGACTTTTGTGTTTTCGCATGAGAAAGTCATAGCTTAGTGGTTTGTTAGATACCAATAGCCCTCAGTTGTTGTTGGTTCGAATCTAGTCGATTATAATCTTTGTCAATGTATATTTCTGATTAAATTTTCATTTTAAAATTCAGGTCTTGATAACACTAATAAGATCCCAATATTGGTCGTACCTAAAAGTTATTATTTATTTGTTTATTTCCGCTATTAATGGCCCATATACTATACCTTGTATACTAACATACATAACTTATAATAATATAAATTAAATTGTTTCTGTGATCACGGCTCTAAAGATGACAATCTGCGACGGTAGCGTCGACACTCCACCGCCTTCAGCGAGTAGTCCTCCTTCATGAAGGGGTGTTCAAATTACTCCTGGTCCGTATAACTATAGAAAAATTAAAAATTAGATAAATTACTATAATTTTAGTACTTAGAACCGTAGTGTACTATCAAAAAATACTACACCTATTTTAAAAAAAGTTCATCCATAAGAAACTCACATTATCAGAAACTAATATAAGTCTATACTAGTTATACGGGACAAATCTGGATCATGGTAAAAATTTAGGAGTATTTCTCATTGAAGCGCCCAGAGAATTGTATTATAGTATAATTTGTGTTACAGCTGTTTACTCTTATTAATATTATAAACGAGAAAGTGTGTGAGTATGGATGGATGTTTGTTCTCTTTCACGCAAAAAATACTGAACGGATTTTGATGAAACTTTACAATAATATAACTTATCTATGCATCAGATTAAGATATAGGCTACAAATTTCACGCGGGTGAAACCATGTGTACAGCTAGTTATACTATAATTTCTGTTACAGCTGTATTTACGTATACCTTTATAACTTAAATATTGAATTATTTTATATATATGAATACACTGATGCAGAATTAAAATTCAAATCGCGTTGCATCTACGTACCCGGAAATTGAACTCTGCTAAAGGTTGTTTGACCCAACCAAAGTGACAGGCTGACACCTGTCAAAAAGCATCCTTTTCGCTCACCCTTTGAGAGAAATCGTACAGTAAGGGTGCGTCGCCTAGAACCCTATAGATTTCGGACTATTCGTTACGATATTGATTTTATAATACAATAAACCGGGAATACAACTTTACCTACTTTACTTAAATTTACACACTTAGAACCTGTTTAATTCTTTACATATCTAGAATAAAATCGTAAATTGTGACGAGCCAAAAAATTGTCTATTTATTTATTTTTGTTAAGTTTTCACGTAAAGACATCTGAAGAATTAGAATAATTCTTTCACAGACTATGTTAGTCTATGTACTGGTCTTGTAAAATCAAATTTTGGAAAATATTTAATTTGCTAAAATATTTTTTCAAAATTTCGCGCAGTTAGCTAGCTATATTTGAATGCAACGTAACAGAGGGTTACTGTTTCTCTGAATAAATTAAATTGTAATCAATGCTTCCATTACCTAAGAAATAGACAGAAATTTAAATTAACACGCACACATTTTTTCCTATTGTAGACCACATTCAAACTGACGACCTTTCAGTCGTAAGTTGAGATAGTAAACTACGATGCTTAATCGTGGGATATTATATGATTTGCTGCGAACCGTATCTAAAATAGAAACTTAAGAATCAATTCATGACCCAACAGGTCGGCCACGATGATCACCGAGATAAAGTTAAGCGGACTATATTTTTGAGCAAGTATACTCCGTAAATGGCCATCACGCCGTCCATCGATATTACCAATAAATTCTTTGCGGTTTCCCAGTACCAATAGATAACGTCCCATGCCGTGCATGTTCGTGATAGAGTTGAATAAATATAGATAGACCATGTTCGACCAAATTTGGATATATTGCAGGTTTTATTAATGGATGATATTGGTATGGCGCACTCGCCTGCGCTAACGATAATACGCAGGCGGGGCACCAGTGAGGATGTTACTATAAGCAAGAATCAGGAATTAACAACTATAGTTTCTAGGGGGACCAAGTGGAGGTAAATCTAACTTGGTCTACTATTAACAATGAGGTCATCAGAACCCATTGTTAACAATCGCCAATGTTTGTTGATTTAGGAATAGGCTAGATTTATTGTTTAAAAAAAATACGTTTGGAGAGATTAAATATCGAAAAAAAGTAATCACAAAATATAATCAAAGCCGAACCGCAGTCGTGAAGACCATACTCTCAATTTCAAAGCAATAGTTAATTAGAAAATTAACTTAAAATATTTTAAAATGGAATTTAAGTAAAAAATAAATATCTTACTACATACTAATATTATAACCGCGAAACGCGAAAGTTTGTGAGTATGAATGGATGGATGGATGTTTGTTACTTTCACGCAAAAATTACTGAACGGATTTTGAAACTTTACAGTACCATAGCTTATACATCAATATAACACATAGGTTATAATTTAAAAAGATTTTATGTAATTGTGCGAAATGTAATGATAAAGTCACGTCAATTTAATGCAGAAGAAGTTGCGTAAGTAAGCTAGTAATAAAATATTATTTAAAAAAAAATGTTTCTAAAAATTCCTAAGCCCACTTCCATACTTATCAAACTATGGTCGTGTAATGAAGACATACTGTTCCGGACCACGCCCCTCCTAAGCGGATAATTGAGTCATTATATGTAGGTGCGCGCGCGCATGCCCGCTCTCCCACTATCGCGATCGGGCGATAGCGAGCGATCAGACCATCGGCCCTCGGGTCCTATGAGGAAATACACGGTTACTGCTATGAGAACTCGTTATAGAATTCTCAGCATCTTAGCTGTTTCATGGCAGCATGCAAACTGACTTCAAATGACGTTAAACGTTAAAAAAATAATTGTTACCGTTGACAGATGGAATCGAAGCAGAATAGTAACAAAGATAATTAAAAGTTATAAAATCTGGACCCAAACATCATCTGCCAAATCTGTAATTATCTGTTATTTTAAGTAATTCCACAAAGAATCACCGAGGTACACAGCAGGTACGTCATCATCGTCAGAAGTCATCTTACTCTATAAATAGCACGGGTGTCACACAATGATCTGATGCTGTTCATGTATTTAGGCTTTGATTACCACTTACCATCAGGTGACTCGTCAACTTGTTTGTTTCATTCAAACTACCTAAAAAAACCTGCATTTCAATAATTGTAAATACTCCAGATAGCTTGATAGAGTTGCATCATATCTGTTATAAAATAACATTCAGTGCTCAATTTACTTACGATTTATAATTTGAAATAGCCTGTATAGCATCTGAAACAAGAGTCATCATCACTTTAATCCTTAGAAAGGGCAATGCATATATTTTGAAATCTGTGACTTTATTTCTATATTTGTCTATAACAGATGATTATTGTAGTTACCAGATTCCATTAGGTAGACCGTCAAATTATTTGTAACTTTAATAATAAATAGTACCAACTCATTTTATATAAGATTGATGTTTTAAGTCTTTGCTTCTATGTAGCAGGGGAAATAGGTTCTTTATAAACAAATAACGGAATGGATTCTGATGACAAAGATAAAGCATTTCCTTCAGATGGAATATCGAAAAGTCTGAAAAGCTTCGATATTCATACACCAATATATATTCTGACTGTGGTTTTCGCTGTAATTTTTATCATTGGTCCGTTACTTGTGCGAAAAGGACCTAACAAAGAGTGAGTTCATTTACTTTTAAATACTAAGTCCACATGCCACTATTGCATATGGATATAGACCACAATATTAATTTTAAGCTTTTTTCAAGTTTATTTAAGACGGTTTTCAAAATACCATTAATTAATATGAAATATGGTGAATTATTTCTCCTCTTTCAGTCACAAGACATAAACTCACATTTGATAAAGAGAAGTTTGGCAAATACTGCCTCTAACCTTTAAATATGTAATAATTACTACGCAGGTTACATGGTACTGTGATTATATTAAAAATATTTGCTCATGACTGTGTATAAATCGCCGGAATGTATCAACAACAGTTTGTTGATAGATTCCGGACACTTATGAGTATCTCTATCAGTATAGAGATATTCATAAATAAACTAAAGTTTTAATATTATTGAATATTGAATGACAAACGTGCATGGCAATAGTAGTTCATACACAGATTTTCACTTTTTGTTAGACATAGATCTACCTAAGTGCACAATCTATTCAGTTCTTCTCAATTGAATCTGTATACTGAACTGGACGGTAGGGAAAAACTATTAATACAAAAAAAACATTCGTAAGCGGCTAAAATGAATGCTAGGCCTATATGAATAAATTATTTTTGATTTGTTTGATATCTAATCTTATTCTTTTCTAGAATTGTTAGATGTGGAATTATGCTAACGGCATTTTCCATGTGGATATTGTAAGTATTTATAATTAATTATGTTGTATAGTTAATTTCAAAATGGCTTCCTTAAGATTCCGTAAGCAAATAATTAATATTAAAATGTTTTGTTTTTATTTTCACCCAAATATAATACAAAAAAAAGCATACATCAATACAGACCTACCTGGCAGTTTGACTGCACCAGAAGTGCGTACCATTTACATTGGACTGTAACCACCTTCATTTTGTTTTTTAATTGCTAAATATAAAACAATAGTTTTATATTCTTTTGAAGTCAATTTACTGTGTTGGTATTTTGCTAATTTTGTCACGATTTTTCTGACAAACAAATACTGAAATTAGTTGTAATCTGTTTTAGTTGGGTGACGGTATACATAGGACAGATGAATCCTCTCGTAGGACCACGTCTCAATAATACCACTTTAGCCTGGATTGCATACGCATGGGTAAGCATACGCTTTATACTGAAATAATATTTATTTTATAACATTTAACGAATTTACAAATTTTTAATTATAAATGTCGAGAGGTCGTACACTGACGACGACTTCATTGGTCCCATATTGAGTCAAGGTAGTGTTTCTTTTGTCTGTTTGTCTTGCAATTTATTTTTGCTAGATATATAAATAGTTAGTAAAAATAAATTGCGTATGTATATATAAAAATTTATAATTTGACGGCTTCGGTAGCGGTTTAGTACAGCACTTTAATTCCGATGGTCGCAAGTTCGATTCCTCACGCGATGCAAACATTTGTATTCATGAGTATGATTATTTGTATTGATCTTGATATTTTCTATGTATATTATGTATTTGAAAAAAAAATATCTAAGTTTATATATCAGTTGTCTAGTACCCATAACACAAACTGCTTACCGTGGGACCGAGGTGGCGCTGTGTTAATTGTCATAATATAAAATAAATAAATAACCCCTATTTATTTATTTATTATGAATTATACATATTATAAATGCCTCGAATTTGTGAATAAATACTAATTACTAACAACGACTAAATCTAAAGTATAGATATTTTCTATTTCAATTGCAGGGTAAACCAGCCAAGACTGAAACTTTGTAGTTAGAGGTCCCTATAGAAGAATTAAATATGATGAAATTGTAATAAGAATGCCTTTAAATATTTAAATATAGTATTACGTATATAAAATCCTTTAATTATTTGTTCTTATATTTATGTAGCCATTATTGTATCTGACCAAAAAATCATAATTTTTTAATTATTTTTTTTGTCGATGATAATGGAATAGTGTACCCGCCTGCGTTAATGGTATACGCTGGCGGAGTGTTGGAGGACGATGGGGAGACATGAAGCCAGGTCAGTTAGGTCATGGCGAATTTATCAGTACTCAAGAAGATCTTGGTCTGGCTAGAACTGCACTGGATTCTATATTAGAACATAAATTTGAAGCTGCACTAGCAAACTCCAACCAGATTTAGTTAGGCAGAAAGATAGAGGTGACGAGAGAGACGTGGTGAGAGAAAACGAGCGACGCAGGTGAGTGTTAACATACGTCGGTATAGAGACCTCTTAAACAACCGAGTGACAAGTCCCGGAAACTGATCGGAGATTCCCTCTTCGCCACATGATAGACCCGACACCCGCACCCTGAATCCATGGAAGGTTAAGAAGTTCGTTTCACTACGCATCAACGGTATACCAATCGTCATGAAATTTGGCATATACACAGCATTTGACGTAGAGAAAGACATAGGCTACTTTTATACATATATATATATCGGTCATAGTCACGCGGACAATGTCATACCTAGAAACTAGTCTGAAATAAATTATTACAAATCCAGACTTAGTATTGCATTATAATAGAAATGTTAATTCTTCTTAATTCGACATTCAACAATGGGTAAGAGACATATTTAGTGTAAATATGAACATGAGAACATTCAATAGAAATATTTTACAAATTATTCAATTCAACAAGTAGTATAGGCCTAGTTCACGAGTATGATGAATGAAAACTTTTCGTATTTTTATAAAATACTGTTTTTACTTAATTATGGGCAGTTTTATAATAGACAGAACAGGTGGTTAGACTAAAATCCACTGTCTTGAAACAAAACTCTAATATGTACACCAATGTTAAGCCTGATAAATAATGCAACGAACCTGCATCAAATAACAATGCAATCAAAAAGCCGAATACCAGCCGAATTGTAATTGAACACGCCCCAAACAAATCGGACTGTATCGCGAAAGATCAAAATAACATTTGTACCGAAATCATTTATCAGCACTGATTCTCTTTCCATTTGCGTCCTCCCCTAGCCCACACCATTGCCGCCGCGCCATGTCATTATAGACCTAATACCACAGACATCGAAGCACAGCGATTTTAGTTTGTGGATGCTTTTTTCTAGCTATATCCGTCTTCGTAATTCACTCTACCTTGACAACAAATTTAATTATTTATTAAGAATTAACCATTTAACCGTTTAGTCGTAACGTTACGATTTATAATATAATGAAATAAATTAATAATACAACAAACACTGCATATTCTTGCTTAAACAAAGCTTGTTGCTCTGTGTATTAAACAACGAATAGACATACTTTTTTTTAAAATACCTATGTACATAACATGGTTGTACTAATAAATATAATGTATATACATATATATTATGCAGTATACCAAAATTTCGAATATTTAGAAGCACTAAAAAAACATAATATAATAGGTTTACTAAATTATAATATAAAAATAAAATGTTAACTTATTTAGGAATAAGGCTAAAAGTTTTAATCGTGAATAGGTCAGCCTTTTCATTGTAAATATATAAAACTATTTTTATAAACTAAACCTAACTCTGCTGTACCTATACGAACGAAAAGTGTATCTTACAGAGGTGATATATCTATAAATATATATGTAACCATTATACATATAACATTTCTGCAAATGATACTGAAACCCGTATTAATATCCGTTGCTTGTTTTAAAAGAAGTAAACAGAGAAACGTGTAACATCTAGATTCTAGATTTAGGTAACCAAACAACAAATATTATGATTTCAAATATACTCAGAGAGTTGATTTTGTGGTAAACGTAACAGTTGATAAACCATGTGGGCTTCAACAGTTGACAATACTTCTGACTACCTCATCTAGGATAACATTTATGACGGTATGTTTGATATTCATACATTTCGACTTAAAAATGTAATATTACAACGATTAGATAAGAGATTCTTGCTCGCTCTTTTTGTGATGAGACAGCTTTCCAAATGAGCGGTTGATTAAATGAACGATAACTGTGACTATTTAAAAGTGCTTAAATTAAGTTTATTGCATTGAAGGATGTCTATTCTCTCTTTATTTCTATTCTGTGCAATTAATATGAAAAAAAATCCTAAATTAAGTTTATTTCAATAAAGGATTTCGATTGTTTTTTTCAATTCTGTGGAATTAATATGTCTTTTCCGCTGCCGCTTATGACACAGTACGCACCCTCGCCCTGTGCGCTGCAGACTAATGTGTTTCAGGGGAATACCATCTTGCGGGGAGTTCGTCATTAATACTCGTTGGTGCTGACGTCCAGATTAAAATTTAATATTTGAATTAAATTGCAATGCTTGTTATGAATACGCAATATGACAACAATGGTTTCGTGTTTTGCCTATTAATAAATTATCAGTTTTTTTAAATCTGTTATTGTCCTACATAGAAGTAAAAATTTTCGTCATTCATTGAAAATTGCAACTGAAAAAATACACCTAACAGTTAAGATGTTCGTCTGGCCATTTCTATTGTTTTACATTTAGCAAAATAAAAGTTTGCAATCGATAAGAAACGAAAGCGTAGATGTACATAGATATTCTTAGGTTAAGAAATCAATGGGTGTTCTTAATTGACGAGTATATCACAATATTTCATATTTATACTATATATTCAACATTAAAAATAATGTTAATATCCATTATTATTGTTTTGTTTTACATTTATATATACCTACATATCTATGATTGAACAATTAATATTTTAAACAAATACAAAAAAAAATATCTTATTCATTATCTTACTGGAGTATAAGAACGTACTTTAAATTCATAGATATAATTGCCTAAAAAATAACATATAAAACTAACCGCTAATATAATATAATCCCAATAAAATGAATGCAATTACGCAAATCCCAAAAAAACACCGGCAAATGGGCATCCCTAACCGTAACTCAATTGTCGCCCCGTGTTCACCGGCCGTCTATTTTTTTTTGAGCTCGAATTCGCGCCATATTGCATCCCACCCTATCTAAATGATAATTCGAGGGCCCTTCTTACAATAAAAATTATTGTGGCCAGTTTATTTTATTACGCTTTGTATTGTGTTCAAATACCTATAGATAAACATGGATAGTACTGCTTCATTCGAAAACTTTTCATATGGAATTTGAACCTTACGACTTTGTGATAAGTGTGTGGGGTGTATTTTGTCGATGAGATTTATAGTTTGCGAAAGTGTATTCGAACTTGTCGCTATATGTCGTATCATCCAAATCGACAGTGATTTCGCGCCTCTTGCCCTTTGACCAATTCCGTTAAGATTGCCTATTTACATTTTCGAAGGGTCCGTCTCAGTGGGTATATATTTTTTTTTTCAGTTTATAGCCCGTTCGTAATTTGACTATTCTTCAGATATCCTCTTTTTAGTGACAATTTTCGAATTTCTATGACTTCATTACACAATCATATATGTATATATGATCGTAACATAAAGAGGTAGGTGGAACTATAGAAACGAGAAATGTCTCTTTAAAAAAATATTGATATAATATAGTCTGCTCCTATAAAGGTTCCGAATAACAAAAAAAAGATTACTGACTGTTAAAGAATACTATCAGGATTGCCTGATAGCATTCTCTACCAGTCAGTAATCTTTCTTTTAACATATACCTATACATAACAGACTGATTGCAGTCTGTTATGGTACGGTTTATTGGTACGGTTTTAGTTGTGTTCAGAAACAATTCATTAATAGACAACTTTTAATAAGGTGTCTAATTGAATCTATCCTAAACAACAACAACAAATAAGGATCTAAAAAAACCGAAATATTTATAATATCTATTGTAGTTATTATCTCAATTATTAGTGTTTTCATCTGATATATACCTACAAGGTATATGATAGTTACAGACAAGGAATGTATATGACAGACCTTTGTGTTTACCTTTTAATATTTAGAAATATTTTAGTTTCCTTGTATTGTAAATCTAAATTAGTTTTAATAGGAGTAGTAATTGTTAATAAGTAATGTATATAAGGTTTTACACCTTAGGCACCATAATATAAAACAATTAAAAATATAACAAAATAATCTTAAGCACGATGTACAATGTAATGACTTAAATAAATAAAAAAATGCTATATGACACTTGTCCTATACCTACTATTGACGTCATCGTACCATTGTTTTGCCAAATCAATGGTAGTATCAAATACAAGAAATTGTTTAATGTCATGCAATATTAAACAATTTCTTGTATTCTGAATGATATCAAAACCTATCTATAGGCCAGACGACATCTACAAGTACATACATAAATAGATGAAAGACATATCAAACCTTTGTAATAAAAACCGCAAGTTCGCTATCTACCCCATTCTTACCGTTCAGATCACAATCACTGCTACCATATTCGATGTCATTATGCATAAATTCCCGCCATTTTTTTTACTTTTTTTTCGATTTGTTAGGCACCGGAATCAGATCTCACAGTTGATAACACTTTATTATGCCGTAATATTTTTTAATCTGCGTTACTTGCACTCGTGTTTCATATTCACATTCGTATTGTGTGAAGGGTGATAAAGCGACAATTGCAATCCTTTGCGAACAATGGAATAGAGTTGTAGAGAACACGTAATTTACTGTGACACGTTTAGGTATCTTCTTGACACATCGTTTCATGAAATCTTCCTACAACATTGTTCTTATCAATATACTGCATACTAATATTATTACATTACTATAAATAGTATATATATATTAGTTGTAGAATAGGCGATTGTTAAGCAATATTGTTAAGAACTCTTTCGTTCATATAAAGAACATATTATTTGAGAAATATATATTCCTTG